TTATGTTTGTGTTACAAACAGTCTTCATCAGACTAACCAAACTTTCAGGATCTACTCCCAAACAGGAATGAAGTTGACCGTAGAAGGCATCGATCAGGAATTGTCTCCAGAGTTAGAAAAAGAGGTAATTATCATGGTTACTGTTAATGACATTGAGATTTATGATAGTTGCAGTATGGAGGAGCATTCAAAGCAGCATGCGAGGCTATGACTAAAACACTTGAGATCATTCGCTCTCCCGGTAAATTCAGAATCTCTGTAGCTTTTTATTCATGCTCAGTTTAGGGTACTCTGATCGTAGTTCATGGAAAGCGGATTGCAGCAGTGAGCACGTCTCGATTCACTATAAAGACATTGACGGGTTGCGATATTTTGCAGCAAAGGTCAGCTCCTAAAAAGCTTCATTTCTCATTTGTTTAAGTCCCCATTTATGCTCATGCGACTTCGCCCACCATATTTTTGCATAGCTCATTTCTAAGCTCAGTCAGCGAGGAATTTTTTGAAATGAATTGGCGTTATTTGTCTTTTCTTCAAGGTTTTCTTTCTTGCTGAACCTCGTTATATTGGGTTGTTTCCAAAGTGCTATCCATTCACGAACTTCAAGTTTGGATCACCTCAAATCTTTTTAAAATTAATCTTTGCGATTGCAGTGAATTGTGTTACAATCCAAAAATCTTTGGATATTCTATGCAATCTCAAAAATTATCACACTAACAACGAGAAGGATTAATAGGCGCAAACCAGGAACCATCTCCTTCAAGAAACCTTCACTTTGCGAAACCATAACTTGCTTTGGAGTGTAATAGAATAGCACAAGTAGGCTGAGCAGCAGTACGATTGGATTTCGCCGAATTTTTCATAAACAATTTTTGCAGAAACCGAAATGACCCACTAATATTGCTCTTTCTAACGTAGCAAAAAATGCACATTTTCAAGATTTGGTTTTCTTCGCATCTGGCAATTCGGGAAAACTTTTCTTTTTCTAGTAATGACCAATCTAGGTGCCTAATCTCACTTAGAGGGGAAGTTCCCCTATTGCATTGTGTCTACAATTTTTGTGCAACTCAGAAGGACTACAACGATGGGTCATATTCATGCTAATAATTTGTAGTTCAAATTTATTGCAAATTTATAT